TAAAATAAATCTTTCCAACTGCGAAAAACACTACATCGGACAAAGAGGACGCCCTCTTCATCTTCGCCTACACAAACATGAATTAGCGGTCAAACGCTATGATAAATTCTCGCCTATATCAATCTAAGTGGACAATTGTGGACACATTCGACTGGGAAAATGTTGAGATCTTGGATAGAGACAATTCTAAAAACACTAGGGAATTTTTAGAAGCTTAGCACTCAGGTCAATCAGCAATGAACAAACACATTGAGATTGACCCAATCTATCAACCAATAAGAAAAATTATGGGCAAATATAGAACCAAGAATCAAATCAATGGGAGATACAACCAAAATAACGAGGTAAAAAATGACAGGTTAAAGCTCAACAATAACCGATCAAGATCGAGGTCTACAGGACAAACTGTGATTTGTGTGTGGAGAAATCCGAACACTTCACTTCGACCTGAAGCTTGTGCTGATGATGTCGTTCAGAATAACGATAAAAGCTCCACGACCAAACCATCCAGTTGAGAGAACAAAACTCCACTAAAGTCATCCACCTGAGCTACAAATCTCCATCATCTCATGGTAGTGATATTTCAACTTAATATTTGATGTTATATGAACCACCATTTCTTGACTATTTTATGAAATAATTAATATTTTGTACATAATTTTTTCACCGATGAGACTGTTTTATCCTCCAAATGTTTTTGAGAACTGTCTGAGCATGTCAATCTATTACGAATTTGAATGACTAGACAGAAAAAGTTTGTATATGAATAGTCTTTAGCTTTAAAATATTCCGCTAAGCGCAAAAGACACTTCAGGTTATATAACAGTAATAAAAATATCATAGAGAAGAACTAATAATTTGGCATTAAATTTTTCTACAACAAAACATATATTCTTATTTTTTTTACGTTTCGTAAGAGAGGAATCAGATATTCCACTAACTTCTTAATAGTTATAAAACTGCTCGTCCCAAAAAGAGAGATAAATGTACAACTTGACCAAAATATATAGTGAACGGATTAGCAATTAAAACACTTGAAGCCCTCCACGCTTACTTCAATTTAAGCAGTCAGGTAGTCTCGTTAGACTTTACAAGGACAATTGTCAATAATTAATTATGATACTGCATTCAACCTGAATTACATCATATATATATATTTATTTATTTGAACATATGAATATTGGTACAAGAGAGCGCCAATATATATGCGCCACACAAAACAATGAGAATTCGAGGAGAAATAGAAAAAAAGCTAAGGAGCGCAAAAGAAAAAGAGAACTATAACGAAGAGATTGGTGTAAGTTAGTGTGGTAGTAATGAGGGAACGGAAAGGTACAATCGGAAGAAATCTTTCAGGTAAGGGACACACAACCACATTTTATGAAGAAAGTAAAAGAAGGTTACAGCAGGATCGCCACTGGCCTCTATTCTGAGCCATATCTGATAACGACTCTAGCCACTGTGTAGCACCATCTCTCAGAACCCAACCAGGGAGTCGAGGACCAACAGAAACTAGCCCTTTGCAGCTTTCTTTCATGCCACGACACCATGTCATGTACTGACCACCTCTCCGCTTTCTCCAACCAATCCCAGAGTCGGCAAATAATGCACGACGTGGAATTCTCTGAGACGACATTCGGAGAACATGTCCAAGCCACCGAAGTCGGTGTTTCAAGATGGTGACACCAATTGAGTTATCATCTCTGTGCCCGAACACACGATGCCGAACCTCTGCATTACTGACATGGTGTTGCCACTGAATGTCAGCAATCCTTCGGAGACAGCGATGATCAAACACAGAGAGTCGTCTAACATCCTCAACTCGGAGAGGTCAGGTTTCCCAATCATAGAGCAAAACTGCTCTCACCGACGCGTTGTAGATCCGACCCTTTACAGCCAGACTGACATGACGAATGAGCCAAAGATGGCCCAGATTGGCATAAGCCGCTCTGGCTTTCACTATACGTGCATTGACCTCATCACTCACGCCACCACCAGCACTTATATAGCTACCTAGATACACGAACTTCTCGACTACTTCTATCTGCTCACCATTCAGGGTGAGTACAGGATTAGGATCCTGCCAGTCTTGTAGAAGTACTTTGCACTTCGAAGGTGCAAAGCACCATCTCAAGCACATACCATACCTACGGACACTGATTGCCAACCGATTAAGTGCGGATTGCATGGCTTGGGCATTATCGCACAGTAAGACAATATCGTCCGCATACTCAAGGTCGAGAAGTCTTTCTCCAGGCAACAGATCCACGCCTCTATTGCTTACATCCATCAGATCTGTTTCCAGAATGTCGTCGATGGCCAAGTTGAAGAGGAATGGTGAGATTGGGCAACCCTGTCTAACCCCACTGCTTGAATGGAACAATGGAGAGAGGTGGTTGTATGCCCTCACTCTGCCTGAGGTGTTTGTATATAGGGCCTTCAGGATGTTAATAAACTTCCCAGGCACACCCTTATTCAATAGACAACCCCAGAGAACAGTCCTGTCAAGAAACACTACGATTGTTGGCCTGTGATAAGTATGACGGTGTCCTAACATTTGACGGAGGGTGAAGATATGATCAATACATCGTCGCCCAGAACGAAAACCAGCCTGCTCCTCGCGAGTCAATCTTTCTTTAGTTTTGAAAAACCTACGAAGTATGACAGAAGCCAATAGTTTGAACTACATCGTAAGTAGACCTATACCCCGATGGTTGTTACAATAAGGACGTGAACCCTTTTTAAAGATAAGGATAACTATCGACTCGTTCCAGGACGTTGGAACACTCTCTAGTTCCCAGAACTTTGTAAACAACACAGTCAATTCCTCAGTCAGAAAGTCACCACCATCTTTAAAAAGGGCCGGAGGTAAGTCATCTCGGCCTGGTGATTTGTAGCGCTTCAAGAGTTGGAGTTCCTTGCACACTTCTGCCTCAATTGGTTGACCAGTCGTTACCGGCAATGGAGGGCAGGACAGTCTGACCGATGTTGCCAGAGCAACAGGCCAGTTGGACTGCCCTTCGAAGAATTCTGCCCATCGTCAAAGACGTCGATGGATGTTAGTGATTGGCATCCCATCATCCTCGCAGATTGTTTCACTTACACCAGACTTCTTGCTGCCAGTGGCTCGGATGAGTTGGAAGAGCTTCCGGTAGTTACCAGATGCAGCTGCTGCTTCCAGCACATTAGCACGCTTCGATCACCAGGCTTCTCAGTGCTCACGCGAGCTTTGCCCAATTTCATTACGTAACATCCTTCGTTTATGGCCAAACTCACGGTCACCCGGAGTAGACCGACGGGCTTCAATGAGTTGCAAGGAACCAGAAGAAACCCAGTACTTATAAGCGGGACGTTTCGCAAACCCACAACTGACTGTTCCCGCCATTTTCATGGCGTCATGCAATTGCAACCAATGCTCATCTATACTTTTCGGTGGAGTGGTAGCTAGCCTAGAGGCTAGCTCAAATCGATACTTACTTGCAACAGAAGTTGCAACCAGCTTGCTAATATCAATCCGTTGATGGCGGTCACTTCGTTGTCCACTGAAAAGTAAGGTGAGATTGGCGCAGACCAAGGCATGATCAGAGTCCAGATAGGTACTGCAAAAGGAGCGGCAGTCTTGTACACAACCACGCCAGCGGTAGCTGATCACGATGTGATCAATCCGAGTCCAAGCTTGAGATGCAGAGGGAGGACGCCAGGTGGCACATTGGCGATGACTGTGCCGAAAGTTAGTGCTAGCCAGAAACAGGTTGTGGTCTGTGCAAAGTTGCAGTAGACGGTCCCCGTTATCTGACCTGCGACTAACGAGTCCCCATCGACCACCTAAACGACTCTCTTCTGTGCCTAGACGCCCGACCTGAGCATTCAAGTCTCCGGCTAGTACTACAATATCTGTCGAATGCACTTTCTGGAGAAGAACAGATAACTGGTGGTAAAACTCATCCTTGATTGCATCCGGGCTGCAATCTGTCGGGGCATAGGCGGAGATGACGAAAAGGCATCGTTTCTCACGCCGATTTCTTCTCACTTTGATAGAACTTTCCAATAGAACAGCACATAACCGACTGTTAATAAGGATCCAGTCGATTAGTGCTGCCTCAGCCCTAGCGCTTAGTGCGACACTAACGCCATCAAGACCAGACGAAGATGCCACAGGGTCCCCGGATAAGCGCATGTAATACAAGCTTTTCGAAGCGACAGATGGAGAGCGAATTCGTAGTACTTCAGTCTTGAATACGGGTCTCGGATAGACAGCAGACATCGATATGAAGACTTTCCAAAGACATAGCCAGCCCTATCTGTTGTCCAACCTGCATAAGTGTGCGAACGTTGAAAGCAGCCAGTTTGAATGGCGCACGTGGTTTCAGAAAAACTGCTTCAGTCCTCGTACTCAGTGGAAACATGCAATTTTCAACCGGACAGTGACTCGAGAACGTTTAGATACAGTCGAATTTCCACCAAAGACGAGCCACTGTATAAGTATAAAAGAGGGTGAATAATGTGGTAAATAATAATAATAATAATAATAATAATAAATAAATAATTAATAATAATAATAGTAATAGTAATAATAATGACAATAATAGTAATGATAATAATTTGAATCATTTGATTGTTTTTCGAAGCGAGAAAAGTAGTTTCCATAGACATAGAGAGTTCATCATTTGTGTGTGGGCTGTGATACTGCCCGGGTGCCCAAACCGAAGCAGGTGGTTATCTTAGGGGGCTGCTCCCCAGATATATACTTTAGATATTTCCAGTCAACAGTAAAATACCACGTTTATGTGCTACATTTTCGATATCAATGCATACTATGCTTACAAATATAAGTTTAACAGTAAACTGCTTTTGATACTCACTAGTGATTTTAGACTACAGACAACTAACGACAAATGATGTCCTCCATAAGTATCTGAAAAACAAGGCTACTCAAAGTGATAAACTTCAAAGCTACGGGAACTGACTTAACAAGTAGGTGAAAAAAATTGTCAACATACGTTCTTTACATCCTCTGTACATGCGTTTACGGGGGATTTCATTAAGACCTGAGACATCAAACCCCAAATCTATTAACCCAAGTACAATATCACTCAAAAGAATTGAAGTTCTCCCACTGCTTTCAGCATTCATTAGTGAGGAAACAGCTAAGTCTTCTGTAACTACAGAAAGTAGATATGTAGAGAATGAGGTCACTATGAAGTAAATTAATAATATACATTATATATATAAACTTTAAGAAATGCTTTTGTCTACCTGTTTTGCTAATTTTTTAAAACCAACTATTAACCTTACTTTTCATCGCACTATTTATTTTACTGTTCTTCATCTTGACTTATATAGTTTCAGTTCGTTTATTTATTTACTAATATTTTCTCAGATATTTCGAACATAAATATCCCATTAATTAGTCACTGTATAAATATACTAGAAGTGTTATTAAAAATGTACAATGAAGAACTATTCCATGTACAGTCACAAATTATATTCTTAACAAAGACTTTTAGATGTCTCTTTAATATCGTGATTTCGGTACTGGGAGATGTAATTACTTCAGACATGAAACTTCAAGACTAGAAACAGATTTATTAACATTGTAATTATAAACAATTGAAATCGAAATCATTTTGAAATCTATGTTAATAGTATTTACGTCGTAAATGAAAAACATCTTATACATAATACGAAACCTGAAAATGTGTATAATAATTAATTAGTCTCAAGTTGCCGTGATATTACATGTCTTCTAATAATGAAGACTGAAGAAAGTTATTACACTAAAACATGACATAGGTGACCAGGTGTTCGGTGTGTCGACAATGTAAGCTTACTGGTAATGATTTCTGCAAAATCATGTTATTGCTAGAAAAAGGACTAAGATCGATGGTATTCACCTATCTTTTATGAAAACAGAAAGCCTTATTATTCTATTCCTAATCACGTCGATAATTCATCATCATTACAATTTCACCTTTTCCCCATTATTGTACGTACATTTAGTCATAAAAAAGATTGTAAGAGTACCTTTAATTCATGTAACTAACTTAACAGACATACAACGAAAGCACATTTTGCTTCAAAAATTTAGATTATAGAATACAGAACTCCACCTGTAGCCCGAGTACAGGGGGAGGGTTGAGCATGGATTCACCAACCCCATCCCGCAGAAAACTAACTCTATAAAAAAACACGCCAACCATAATAAAGAAATTAAACAATTTAAACTCTGCCATGGGAGTTCAAGGAAGAATTATGACGCCTCATGATGAAAGTCGAGATTCCTCCGAATTCACGAGGGCGATGCCCCTTCTAACAACCAGAGCAACAATTGACATAGGCACATCGAACATCAGGACAATGTGAGAGACCAGGAAGACCAGTCAATTAGCAACAGAAACGAGGAGATACAACTTGGTAATACTGGGAATCAGCGAAACCCATTGGACTCAAGCTGGACAACAAAGGCTAGATACGGGAGGGATGCTGCTATACCCCAGTCATGAAGAGGAAAATGCCCCCACACACTCAGGGAGTTGCTCTAATGTGTCCAAAGAAGCACGAAATGCAATTGTAGGATGGGAATCTCACGGATCCAGAATCATCAAAGCATCATTCAAAACAAAGAAGGAGGGGATCACAATGAATATTATCCAATGTTATGCACCCACCAATGATAGCAACGACGACATTAAAGATCAATTCTACGAGCGGCTGCAGTCAATCATAGAGAAATGCCCAAGAAAGGACCTCACCATTCTAATGTGAGATCTAAATGCCAAAGTCGGAATAGACAACACTGGATATGAAGATATTATGGGACGACATGGACTGGGAGAGAGAAACGAAAATGGGGAAAGATTTGCAAATCTGTGTGCATTCAACAAATTGGTCATAGGCGGTACAATATTCCCACATAAACGCATACACAAAGTTACGTGGGTCTCACCGGATCACACCACAGAGAGCCAGATAGATCATATTTGTATCAATAAAAAATTCCGAAGGACAATCGAAGACATGAGAACCAGGAGAGGGGCTGACACAGCTTCAGATCACTAACCAGTTGTGGCCAAGATGAATCTGAAGTTAAAAAGAACTGGACAACTGGACAAACAGCACTACAAAGGTTCAATACAGCCATCCTACGAGATATTAACAAACTCAACCAATTCAAAATAACTCAAAAACAGGTTTCAAGCCTTACAGGATCTATTGAAAGAAGAAGGAACTACGATGGAGGATAATTAGAAAAATATCAAAGCATCACTAACTACAAAATGACAGGTGCTGGGCCTCAAGAAGCATCATCATAAGAAATGAATCTCTACTGAAACCCTAGACAAGATTCAAGAAAGGGAGAACAAGAAGGCAGCGATTAACAATAGTCGAGAAAAATCAGAGAAAGTCAAAATAGAAGCTGAATGCACAACAGCAAACGAGCAATTGAAGAGCATCAGCGCTGATAAGCAGAAATATATGGAGAACCTAGCAACAACAGCGGAAAAAATCTTCAAGAGAACGAAATATGAGACAACTCTATGATAAAACGAAGAAACTATCAGAGAAATGCAGTAAGCCAAAGAGACCGGTCAAGGACGAAGAAGGCAGGACAATCACTGAGATTAAAGAACAGAGGAACAAATGGGTATAATACTTCAAGGAACTCTTGGATAAACAATCTCCACGCATCGGATATCGAAGCAGCACCTACAGACCTTCTTACAGACGTCACTCCACCAACGACGGAAGAAATCAGGACGGCCATCAGACAAATCAAGAGCAAGAAAGTAGTAGGACCTGACAATATACCAGCTAAAGCTCTGAAGTCAGATATACAGGTAACTCCACACATGCTCCACATTCTATTCAGGAGGATTTCGGAGGAACAAGTGCCGACGGACCGGAAAGAAGAACACCTCATCAAGATATCAAAGAAAGATCTGAGCAAGTGTGAGAACTACATAGGCATCACACTATTATCGGTATCAGGAAAGTTTTAAAGTGTTGCTGAACCGGATGAACAATTCAGTAGATACCTAACTTTGAGATTAACAGAGCGGATTCCGTAAGGATCAGTCGTGCACAAACTAAATCGCGACACTACGGAGCATCGTTGAGCAATCGATTGAACGGAATTTTTCACTATACATCAACTTCGTTGATTATGAGAAAGCATTCGACAGTGTGGATAAGAAAACTTCACAGGAACTTTTTCGACAATATGGTGTACGTGAGCAGATCAATGTAATACGGAGGAGGAGGTTTTGATGCAGAAGTAAAGGCAGAGATTGGCAAAGTATGGGCAGCATTCCTATAGTTGAACAACATATGGAACTCAAAACAACTGTCAACCAACATCAAAGTCACAATCATCAATACGAACATCAAAGCAGTCCTACTGTACGGAGCTGAAACGTGGAGAACCACCACAATCATAATCAAAAAGGACAAGTATTTATAAACAGTTGTCTACGCTAGATACTCAATGTCCGTTGGCCGGAAACCATCAGCATCAGCCTACTATGTGAGAGAACAAACCAGCTTCCGTCTCAAGAGAAAATTGGGGAGTGGATAGAACACACATTGCAGAAAACACCAAACTGTATCATGAGGCAAGCACTAACTCGGAACGCTGAAGGGAAACGGAAAAGATGAAGACCAAATTACACATTGCGTCAAAAATTGGAAACAGATATTAAAAGGATGAATGTCAATTAGAAAGGATTGCCCAGGACAGAGTTGGATAGAGAATGCTAATGGTCGGCCTATGCTCCACCACGAAGGGCAACAGGCATAAGTAAGTAAGTATGAATCCAGACATTAAATCTACGTCAGTTATTAGACGAAGTTACATTGATTTGAAACCTAACATACATGGAACATGTCATCTAGAGAAATAAATGAGTGGCAAATTCAAAAAGTTATTGGTTAGAAATTTTCACCAACTGTTAGAAACTACACTTACAAGAAAAGAAAAGATTTGAAAGTACTCTCAACGCTGCGTACTCAATAGATGTATATCCAACTGATAAGGCAAGATAACCAATAGCACCTTCAACAACATCCAAAACACCCTGGGGGCATTCTCCACCTGTCAATAACCGGCTAGACATTTCAGAAACTTCTGAAAAAATGTAGATAAAAATTCGCACTTTCAGTACAAAAAAAATACAGGAAAATTGTAAAGGCGAAGATGACTATAATTTTTACCTGTATCCAGGACAAGGCTGGATATGGGTACTTTAATGGACACTACTCGCTAACACCATCCGAAGGGAAAAACTTTGATGACAGGTCACACTTCTCAAAATGTCACTATTAGCATACCTAGACAGTTCTCAGAAACCGATACAACCATAAAACATATCAACCCAATTCAAAGGTTGTTTTTTGAATTAAAGATAAAGATAAGGGGTGTTGGTGTCTCGAGGCTTAATAAAAGGTGATAACTGGATCTTACGACCTTTAGAGACTATAGACTGATCTCTTTGTTATTGGTCGGAAGTGATTTTATCTTATTTCCTACTAACTGGAGTAATCAATGAGGAAATAATCTTAAACGACTAACTACAATTTCCACTAGTCTAACTGGCACTTGTAAAGACCAATAATTTGTAATTCCCAACTTGAAACACCTTTAGAAGCGAAATGTTAGGATCCGATTGGTTTATTAATCCTAACTTAGCCAATCTAGTGAAACTTTATAAGAGCTGGAAGAGTAAGCATAGCTCATATGTGAGTAAATTACTGGAAAAAAGTTCAATCTGATGTTACAGCCTTGAACGGAAGAATAGTAAAACCACCACTCCACAGAACTAGCTCTCAAGTTTATTAGAAGCATTATAACCATATATACAACTTTGTTAAAACTGGATCATTTGTGATTACGCACCTTAAAAAACAGGCCCACCATAAAGGAATTATTTGCTGAAATAACCTTTTCACTACTTGATAAGTAACTTTAGACTGACTGAATATACTAACTGGATAGTCTCTTGGTAAGCACGAGGCAACGGGTATAATTTATGGGGCGATTCACAGCAGTCGAAGAGAACGGAAAGATGCACAAATATAGTTACTGTATTATCAACGAGAAGTCACGATTAAGGTTATTAATACACCATTCTCTATATAAATTGTCGATCCAAATCTGCATTCAACTACGTAACTTACCTGAATACGTATATCCTTCTTATAAAAGTCTATCGAGCCCATAGGGATAAAAATACCCTACGGTTTTATAGTCAGCACCCTGCTGTATTTTATTTGAACACAAATATTGGTACAAGGGGGCACCGAATACATATGCACCACACAAGTCAATTGGGTTGCGAGTGGGCCGAAATACTGCCCGGGTGCCCAGACCGAAGCAGATGATTTTCTTAGGGGGTCACACCCGGAGCCCTCGACCTAAAGATCTGGTCCACAACGCAGTGAAGCAACGTTATAAGATGCAGTCCGATGGTAGCCGGTGACCAATAATTGGTTCACACTCCATTTGTTCCCTCAGGAAACTAGAGCCCATGTGTACCATTGGTTTGGAATTAAGGTTTTTCCACTCCCCTAGGTGGACTCTCCATATCCACTAACCCGGCTAAGGCGCCGGACATTCGCTTTCAGTCCTCTTGATTTCGTAAACAACGCCGCGAGGAGGCAGTGAGTAGGATTTCCCTAGCAGTGGCTGTATACGCATAGTATGGCAACTCGAACTGATGTACGTACGTACGAAGTTCTGCGCTGTTACTGACTGATTGACTGACTTGAAAGCATTTCGAGAGGGAGAGCTAACTCTCCCCACTCTCGGCTGTACCAGGGCATTTTGGGGCCCCTGACAAGCACATTATATATGGCTGTAGTTTCAAAGCGCATTTACAGGTGTAAAACTTCGTAGTATTTAAGTTTTTGCAGCTTTTCGAGCGTGCTTTGTATGCGGACAAAATATTATACCGCATACGCTCACATTAGGAACAGAAAGGATACAAATATATTTCAAGAGACCGTCTTGACTTACGATTTAATGTGAAAACATTATGTCACAATAATTAATATGAACCGTAAGAACATTTGAAATGAAAAAATACCAACATCTTAAAATGTCGGAAATACCCATGCTAATGATACCAAGTAGTTTAAGATGACAAATCATGGTCGGAAACCAGACAGGTCTTCCAATTAATACAACAAAGAAACTAAACGTAACACATCTTAACAATTCAGAAATATAAACATAATTTGGAACCTGATCCAAATCTGTATCCCAAACAAACATCATCATGTGAAAAACAATGAGAAAATGAGTGGTAATAAACTCAACTCTTACAACTGTAAACCTTGTACCAGAGAACCAAGCAAGATGGAGCGAGAATTTTTGTTTTCACTGTGGTAATCCGTGATGTAAGGCGCATTTTGTTACTTGTCGCTTTTGCTGGCTTATATGAAATATGTAAAGTTTTCTACGACAGTATACAAAACCTTAGTGAGGACTAAGCTTGAGAACTGCGTTCAGGCTGCAAGCCCCTGTTTAAAAGGTGACTTGAATATCCTGGGAAAAGTACAGAGGGCAGCTACGCGTGCAATTACAGAACTCCAAGTTTTACCATACAAAGATCGGCTCGAAAAGCTGGACCTCTTTAGTTTGTCCTATCGCAGACTAAGGGGAGATCTAATTTTGATGTACAGAATACCGAGAAATGATCTTGGACCTAACTTATTTTCTCTTCTCCTTCCCACTAGATCGAGACATCACAAAGGACATAGCAGGCGAGCAGAAAAGCCAAGAACAAACAAGATACCCATGGCATACAGGTTTTTACACCGAGTCATCATTACTTGGAACCTGTTACCCTAGGCAGTGGTGTCTGCTCCTTCAATTGATGCGTTCAAGAGAAGACTGGACACTTATAGAAGCATACTAGAAAAGGAATAACACAAGTCGTAGATCTTCTGTCCTTACTACAAAAATCTGAAGGTACTACTCCATCATGTCAGTGTCGAGTGTACGGCAGTCAGTTCTAACGGAAGAAAAGTCACAACACAGTGGACATGCTTCCAAGCAATTCTATAATAGGACCTCAGTCATACATTTAGGCAAAAAGTAGATAATTCGGCGACATTTGAGAGAGAGAGGGACAATAAGGGAAAAACCCGTATTATTTCCCCCGGACAGGCGAAAAAGCAGACATTTTAGCACGTTTCCCCATTGTTCGCCTTTATTTAACCTTTATTGGTTGTTTGGATTATCTCAAAACATTTACAATTCAGTGACTAAATAAACTAGAACATAATCGTAATTACTGACAGTGACACACTTAGACGACTCAAAAACGCGGAATTTAATTCCATCTGTTAATACTGCATGAACGTAAACATGATCATTATTTCGGTTTACGATACATACAACGTTGAATTTAAAACCACCCGAAACTGAAAAACTGAAAGTGCCGCCTCGGTCTGTTGCTTTGATCTGCGATATCTAATATCATTGTAGATGTACACTCTTCACAGAATTCCATGAAGATAAATTTCCAATCACACTTTGCCCTCAATCACGAGCAAAGTCCTTATCCAGGTTTTTATTCCACCAACAGATTACTAAACTTTCTAGTTCTGTTCTAAGACACCCAAATGGTATAACATAAGGCTTTACAGTGACATGTAGAATTTGTGTCTAATGGATTATTTATCGCGCAAGAATGAGGTTGTAGCGGTAAGTAAATCCCCAAAATAAATAGCTCTGTACGTCTGCGACATTGGATGCTGACCACATAAGTTTTAATGGACTCATCCAGCTGATGGACAGCTATGGTCCCTATGAACCGAGGACAAAGTTCGTCAGGACTTGTAAATTGGTACGACTTAAGGTTGAATAATCTCGAAACAACTTCATTTGCGATAAGTTCCTGGACCTTTCAATGATTTTTATCATTTTCGATGAAAACACTCCTGGAATACTTGGATAAGGAACAGTTTTGTTCATTTTGTCTCCATCTCAAGCTAAACCTTGTGGTACTATGGCTCCCAGCAACGTTGTTTGTCTGGCTAAATCAGTCCTTACACTCAGAGACTGACACCCGGATCTTAGACGATCAATAATAAATAGTCAATATCAGTCACAATGAGCCCGGGTGGATTATTGAATTTTATGGAACTAGATTATAAATCTGTAGATCTCCCTTTGTACTTGTTACCATTCAATTCCCTTCATATCTAAATAGGTCTTTTGCACGATAACACTCTACCTGTCTTCCTAGTGTGTTATAGAAGCGAAAAATTCCACTGGGAGTTTCAACGAACACAGGGCAGGGTGTTTTGTGGTTATGTGGCTTCGTGATAAGGTTCTGTAAGTTGCGCCGTTTACTAAAGTCACCTTATAGATTGAGGCTATTCACTGAACGCTAAAGGCAAGCTTATAATATCCATACTACTCAAAGTCTACAAATTTACTTGAGGCAGAAATCATAAGATTCCAGGAATTTTCCACCGGCGTATTATTTTGGGATTAATATCCTCTAATTCTTCCGTGTTGCTCAAAATAATACTGTAGGCAGTTTGGTTTTTTCCCTCAACATTCCAGCCAACAACAGTCAAATTCGGCATAGAGGAACAATAACAACGTAGTTAAATTCACCCAAAACTTGACTAATATCACATAGCGACTCACGTGCAATTGAGTTTAGTTCAGTCAAGGTCTTTTGTTGACCTATTTAATGGACAAAGTCATCCATGCTATAACAACTTGTTGTACTGTTATTATTATTGTGCTTGTATGAAATACATATGCTTGAACATTGTCTAGCGCCTACGCATGTATTCATTCTGCTAGCTTCATTATTAACTGCTTAATCTATTCGCTGACTCATCCATTTTCCTATATATATATATATATATATATATATATATATATATATATATATGTATATGTACATTTGCACCCATCTACTACAACTACTCGCTACTGCTACTGCTACAATCGTAGTTCGCTTGCCCATACATTTTGCCTCTACTGCCTGGTCCGAATTATCTGCTAAATAAACTGTAGAAGCTGCTTCTTTTCGCCTTCTGATTTCAAACATCGTTGAAGATTATACGATAACGGCTCGAGGGTGATTAGTTATCGAAGCACAGCCACTACAGAATTGGTAATCCCGACGTGAGAGCGGGAAGCGAATTTCGGCGAAATAATCAAATCCCAAAAATCCGACTCTTTGCATCTCAATTTGGATTATCATATGAACTATAATTACAACAGTGGATCTATATTACTATTTTAATTACACATTATTTCGCAAACATTATTAATCGTGACGATTATATCCATAATAAATAACGATTATTCATAAACAATTGATATATTGGTGCAATTTAATAAGTCTGTTCCATTTTATAAATTGTACCATTTTTTTTATTATCATTGTCTTTGTCCGTCTATTTTTCCTTCTGACAGTTACATTATTTTCGTGTGCTACTTAATTTTTTTTAAACATGTCCTACGAAAACACAGTGTCAAGCGTACAGCAAACCTCGTCCGTGAGGTCTCTTATCCTTCCTGCCCCTTCTTTTAAAGCCACAGACCCAAAACTTTGGTTTATAAGACTTGAAAATTATTTTCTCGCTAACCGCATTCTCTTGCAAAAGGATAAATTCGGCCTCACAAGCATACTTCTCCCAGACGAAGTAGAAGACAGCGTTCGAGAGGCATTAGCGAAGCCAGACACTGAAAAACCATACGACGTGCTAAAAGAGGCAGTAATTAAAACCCTCTCTCTCAGTGACCAACAAGCTGTTAAACAGCTCCTTAACCAAGTGCAAATTGGAGATAGAACCCCGTCACAACTAAAAAATTATATGAAAGGTCTACTTGGCGATAGGCACATTGACAATAACCTCTCGTATCAACTGTGGCTCCGCCGACTCACGGAAAATATACAGCAGATCCTAGCTGTGGGAGATACGGACGCTGACTTGGACAACATAGCAAAGATAGCTGATGGAATATACGAAAGAAGTAAGCAAACAAGCCCTCCACTACACAACGTGACGGTAGACTCGATACCCTACAGAAGGAAATAAATGTTTTATGCTGCAAACTCTTAGAGTTAACGCGGAGAGAAAAGCCAAGAAAGTCATCGCGAGATCGCTCGCGTGACAGGAACCGGTCTATTTCGAGACGACGCACAACTCCCGCAATATGTTGGTATCATCAAATGTTCGGCTACAGGGCTAGAAAGTGCCTGCAACCTTGTAGATTTAACAGGGCTAGTAACCGATACCCACGAGTATTAATGGCAACGGCATCAACACACATAATGTCTGAAAACAGTCGCCTCTTCTATATACAAGACCGAACCACTGGCGCACAATTCTTAGTTGACACTGGAGCGGATATTAGCGTAGTACCTCCATTTAATCCGTCATTAGTGCTAAGAGCAGTAAACAAATCAGATATTAAGACATATGGCAAACGGGAATTATCCCTAGATTTTGGACGTGGTGCTTCATACCGCCGGAACTTTGTTATAGCAGACGTATCAATGCCTATAATAGGTATAGATTTCCTATGTAACTTTGACCTGCCAGTAGACTCTCGACGACACAGACTTATAGACGGCAGTCAAACCACTTCGATAAAAGGAATACTTACGGAAGCCGTTTCAATGAACCTTGTGATAGATAAAAGTCGTGGTGATCCATATAAATTGCTGGTAAGGGAGTTCCCGGAACTCGTAAAAGTGACATACAATAAAGCTGATCTCAAACATTCTATTCAGCATCACATACTAACGAATGGTCCACTAATCAATGCCAGACCAAGAAGGTTAGATCCCAAAAGATTAGCTATCGCAAAACAAGACAAGCTGATGAGGCTAGGCATCGTAAGGCCATCGAACAGCCCGTGGGCATCTCCGCTACATATGGCCCAGAAAAAGAATGGAGAGGTTAGGCCATGTGGAGATTACAGAGCACTGGACAAACAAACAGTAGCTGACAGATACCCTACACCGCACATCCATGATTTCATCTACTGTATAGAGGGCACTACTATCTTCTCGAAGATCGACTTAGTCAGAGCATACTACCACATCCCTGTTGCCCCACAAGACGTACCGAAGACAGCAGTAACAACCCCATTTGGGCTATATGAATTCCTGCGTATGCCTTTTGGACTGACTAACGCGGCACAAACCTTTCAGCGGTTTATCGACCAGATCATTAGAGGTTTACCTGGGGTATACGCGTATATCGACGATTTATTAGTAGCTAGCACCACTAAAGATAAGCATATACAACAACTACGGCAATTATTTATGTGACTCAGAGAACATGGCATTTCTATAAACATTGAGAAGTGTGAATTCGGAAAAGAGTCCTTACAGTTCCTAAGTCACAATATAACTTCTCAAGGCATCACACCAATAGCAACAGAAGTCGACGCCATTGGGAATTATCCACTACCCGACTCATGGAAAAAGTTACGCCGATTTCTCGGGTTATTAAATTATTCCAGACGATTTATCTCGAATTGTGCGTCAATATTGCAGCCATTAACAGATGCGTTACGCGGGCACACACGGACATTCCAATTAACACCAGACGCGATTCAAGCATTCGAGAACGCTAAAAAAGCACTAAATAAAGAAGTGACACTAACTAGACGAAAGAGCGAAACACCGTTGGCTATCATGACAGATGCATCAGACGTAGCGGTAGGAGCCGTTTTACAACAATTAGTAAATGGCATATGGGAACCGCTCTCATTTTTTTCGAAAAGACTGAATTCGACTCAAATAAGATATAGTACTTTCGGAAGAGAACTCCTGGCAATCTACTAAGCAATAAAACACTTCCGTCATATGGTCGAAGGCATAAATTTTACCGTCTATACAGACCATAAACCACTAACGAAAGCATTAAGTGCAAAGCAAGACAATTATTCACCGAGAGAGATCCGACAGCTAGAGTTCATTTCACAGTTCACGTCCGACATAAAATACGTTAAAGGACAAGAAAATGATGTGGAAGACGCACTGTCAAGAGCAACGATAAGAACACTTATGGCAAGTGGAATTGATTATAACGGTCTGGCAAAGTTGCAGGAGAGAGATATCGAGTTAATAAACACAGATCCGGTGGTACAACATCATTAGTACTCGAAGAGGTGCGGTTCGGCAACACGAAAGTAATTTGCGATACATCAACAGGCCGACCGCGACCATTTATTCCGAAAACGTTGCGACAGAAAATATTCGAAAGCATGCACAACATGTCGCACCCAGGAATAAAAGCCACGATAAAGCTGATCAGCGAACGATTTGTATGGACAAACATGAATCACGATGTACGTAATTGGACACAAGCATGCATGAAATGCCAAAAAGTCAAAGTACATCGCCATACTAGCTTTGCAGTGGGTCCGTTTTCACACCCAGACACAAGATTTGAACATATACACATCGAT